CCCGCGCATTGTGACCCCATGCGTGATGACAAACGGCCTGTGTCCTGTCACCGCCCGGCCTGTCCCTGCCCGGTGTCCCTCCTGTCCGTGCCCGGTGTCCCTCCTGTCCCTGCCCGGTGTCCCTCCTGTCCGTGCCCGGTGTCCCTCCTGTCCCTGCCCGGTGTCCCTCCTGTCCGTGCCCGGTGTCCCCCCTGTCCCTGCCCGGTGTCCCTCCTGTCACCGCCCGGCCTGTCCCTGCCCGGTGTCCCTCCTGTCCCTGCCCGGTGTCCCTCCTGTCACCGCCCGGCCTGTCCCTGCCCGGTGTCCCTCCTGTCCCTGCCCGGTGTCCCCCCTGCCACCCCCTGGGGCTGTGCTGTCCCTCCTGTCCCCCCCAGGCTGTCACCAGCCGCTGTGCCCCCTGCCAGCAGCACCCAGGGCTAGGCAGCCCGGGGCAGAGGCAGCGGGCTGTGCTGTGTGGCGCTCGGCTGCCCACAGCGCGGGGCCAGCGAAGGGAGGGGACATCTCGGGGTGTCTGAGGGTATCTTGCTGCATTTCTGGAAAGTTCAGTCAAGGAACCCAATGAGCATTTATTGCCATAAACCCATGTACTTCCCAACTGTGGCATGTTTACCGTTGCTTGAGCACTGGAGAGGAGGACTAAGAAGTAAGAAATGAACCAGCAGCGTTAGGAAGCGCCCCAGGACAGTACTTCTTGCTTCCTCAATCATCACAGCTGCTGCTGCAACAGCCCTTGCACATGAAATCATGCCTTGAATTATGAACTCTAGTTCTGCTGAATATACGCTACAGCTTGCAGACGTTTCTGCACCAACTGGCTATTCCTTTCCGTTCATGTAAATAAAACGTAAAAGGCTTGCTGTCATCTGGCAGGGATAACAAGGGAGCTTCCACAACTGCTTGGTTTAGATCTTTAAGTGCCTTTTGGGTTTTTGGAGTCAGGAAACCCTTTTGATTTCAGTGCTGTTCTCTATATCCAAGGGATAGATATTTTTGCTATTTGTACCTGTTTCTTTTTCCTGTTAATAGTGATTTGGAAGCCTAGGTTTTAATTTGGTAGCCTTGCTTCTAAACCTGTGGTAGAATATGGCTTATACATACTCATTCCATAATTCGGCCATAGCCACATTCCAAACCACAGCAGCAGAGGCGAACAAGCCCAACTGTTGGATATGCACTAAAAGCCCATCCTCTCCCCAAAATCAAGTCTCCTGGGTATCTGTCCCATTAAACTCTGAATGGCACAAGGACGGGCATCTACATTATGAATTTTCACTGAAGAAAGGAAGGATCCCGCCTTTCCGCCAAGCAGGGTTTGTCACTAGTCTGAAAGGAGACCCCAGGTATGCTTGGAGAGCAAACCTGCGGACAAGCTTACTCACTCTACAGGGGCTGAGAACTGGAAATGAGCATATATTAAAATTATTAGAATTAAAATGAATAAAAATAATATTATTAAAATTAATAAGAATGAATGGAAATGGACAATTCAGATTTTAGGATCATATGGGTGAAAAGGAGAGTCTTATGCCTGGAATGTTCCTGTGCTTAAAGGCAACTGGTGGTACTACGCAGATTCTTCTAAAACCTTACTATATACCGCATCCTCTGAGCATGAAAGGGAGAGGCTCCAGAAGCCTTTACATAAAACCTCTTCTAATGCTGTAGATTTGTTCCTAAATGGAGTTTATCAGGCCTGGCAGACTCCTGAGATTATGTGGATATTCACAGATAGATTAACTCGGTATTCTGAAGGAAGCCATAGTCAAGCTAAAGATAACGATATAATTTCCATTACCACTACAGGCCTATGGATCCTGATGGCTCTGAGTCATCTACCCTGGGTCTGAACCTTACGGGTTTACCTGAACAACCAAATCCGGCACATGTCAGCCCTTCTATGGGAAATAATTTACATGATTCAGATTTATTTGAAGTTTATACTACCCATTGACACAACTACCAGGGCAATATTGGATAGGTAGAGAAACAGCATTTGATGATTTACCCTCAACCTGAGCCAAAAAATGGATTCTAAGTGCATTAATACCTTCCACACAGGTTAGAACCAGTATTTCTTCTGTCTCTTTATCTCCTAACTACTGATATCTACAGGAAAAAGCATCACAGCCCTGTGACAGAATGTGGCACTAAGTTCCACCTGTCTGTAACAGCTTTTATCCCACGGTTGGGGGTTGCAAAACCAGAAAGAGCTATTGCAAATGTGCCAAGAGAATTAGGAAAATCCATTAATGAAAGTGCAGATAGTAATACAGCCCTACAGGAAGACATCAAATCATTATCACAAATGGTAACATAGAATCAGCTAGCCCTAGAGCACCTTTTAGAAGTACAGGACAGAGTATGTGCATTATGGGATAACAGCTGATGGGTTTTTATGTAAACCAAGACCAGAAAAATGAAACTGATAGAAACAAGATAATGACTCATTTTAAAATATTACATGAAGTAAGGCAGGGATCTCCCCTAAATCTATTTGGGTGGTTAACCTCTTGGCCTCCAGACCTAGGTAGAGGACTGTGAACTAAAAGGGTCTGGGTTGTTATGTTTACTCTCTTCTTTTGCTTTGTAATTATATATGTGTGTTTACAGTATTATCTTATGCGCTCCACTTATGAATAAATAATGAATAGTATAGTGTGACCCTGACAGTCAAAAGAAAAGGAGGGACTGTTAGGAAAATCTTATTCCCTAACTCTTGTACCAATTAGTCTTTACAGTATGAAATTGTATGTATTTTCCGAAGATATATCTTGATTACATTGTATACTGCATAGCCATGGTTCAGTGAGCATGACTAAAGGACCATGGCTCATTGCAAGGAGGAGAAGGACAGTCCCCACCCTGAAGAAGAAAGGATACCACTGGGCTACCCAGATCACGCCAACATCCCAGCTCCTCCAAATCCTTAAAAAGTGATGTTCCTTTTTCTTCCCCTAATGAGTTTGTCTTTTGCCCGTGACCCTAATGAGTGAGTGTGGGGGACCTCAGCTGGACTGAGGCCCCTGGGAAGGAACGGTTTCAACCTTGAAAGGATTCCAAACTACCCCTGAGAGAGCAAACAAGAACAAGAGGAGCTGCAAGATGAGCAAGCTTATCGACTGCTGTAAGAGAGCATAACAACTCTGAACCGGTAAGAAAAGAGACACATCGGAAGAACTGATAACCCTGTACTGGGAACTAGTTTTAGGTGGATAGAGATACTAGAAAGCTAGGGAGCCTGAACTTCTGAACTTTTTATATTATTACACTTGTGTGATGAGCTTATGCATATTAACTTCTCCGCCCTGGGAAGGGCCAGAGTTCATTACCATGAACATGAGATGTATGAACAGATACCTGAAGGGGCGGGTCGGTAGATGGTCCAGAAAATCTGTACACTCTGTAGAAAAAGTATAAAGGAACAAAGGAGGAGAAAATAAAGGGTTTTTTTGTTTGTGGCTTTGTTGTTGACTTGCTGTAATGAAGAATCTGTCCGTCTCAACTGTAATTTTGTCCGCATCAACCGTGACAGGTGAGCAGGGAGGGGTCCCCGTCCTTATCTGGATTCCTGAGCCTTTTACTTCATTTTGTCCTTTCCATTCCTGAGAGGGGAAGAGGTGAGTGAATGGCTGCGTGGTGCTCAGCTGCCCTCTGGGCTCAAACCACAACTGACATCTAGACACAGATAGAAGCAGATGGGTGATGACGCCATAGAATTAGAGTTGCTTTGCAAAAAGTAGTATAAGTGTGTGTTAAGTAGTAATTGGTCAAATCATGTTGTACTTGAATGCCTGAAAGTCATAAGCACCATGTGTAAAACCACATTCAGGGTGCCCCAGTTTGACTGGGACACCTCATGTGCATAAATATAAAATTTCTCTTGCAGTTCTATACTCTGTGTCTTAGTCTCTCTTCTCAGTCAGCATAGGCCAGTTGCAAAATTTTCATAACAATACCCCTCTCCCCATTCTGAAAGTTATCCTCAAAGGCTGAGAATTGCCCCTAGGGGTGGCCCAGAAGTCTACCGTTCAGCAGCGAACACTTTATCTCCATCATCGAGCTGTCCTCCCAGGAAATGATCGTTCAGGAAGGGCTCGCACTGAAACCGTAACTTGAATAGGACTGCCTCAAGACTAGGAGAGCGATGAGCCATCCTCTCCTATTCAAGATGCTCCCCCTTTCTACCTCAGTAATGCTTTTGGAGTATGGATTACAGACAGAAGTGCCCACTTGAAAAATGGTGTTTGGTCTGGTAAATTGACAGCCGTTTCTGCAGATGGAAAAAGCAGAGTTAACTAAGGAGATAAAAGATTCCAGCCAATGAGTGGAGTCCCTGGCCATCACCTGAACCTTTGGAGGTGGAACCCGCACAGTTTATACTGACTCTGATGCTGGATGGGCTGGAGCCACCCAGTGCCTGGGGAATGGGCAAGAGCTGCTGCACTCCCTCCATAGAAGCTGCTGGCAGGGATACGTCTCTGCTTGTGTTTTGCCTGGGAGAATCGGGAGAAAAGCAGTGGCTGGAAAGTGAAAATCTATTGAGATTCAATGCAACATTTGTAAATGTTTGGAAGTGGCACGGGACTTTGTGTTGATTTTGTTGAGATTTGTTAACATTGGCACAAGAGGTGCTATGAATCAATGCACAGGCACCTCCTTGGTGCAGGGTAAGCATATCAAGTACTAGATGATTTTGTCCTGCTATCAAAGCTAAAGAATTTTCCTGTTTCGAGGCTGAAGTGGCATCTGCTGTGCAATTGTCTGTGGCTTCCATGGCAGCAGAGAGATTTCTGAGAGCTCTTCCTAGTTCATTTACCCTGAGTCTGGGAATTAACATTTTGATTAAACGTCTCCAATCATGGAGGGGTTCCTCAGACAGTGGGGTGACGAGGTGGAGGGTCAGATCTATGCGTGGGGCAGGGGCTGCGTTAACCCCCCCACCTCCCGCTGCAGGAATGCCCGCTGGCAGGGGCGCTGTGAAACAATCCTCAACCCTTTAATGACTGAAGAAGGAAAGAGAGAGATGGGAGAGGGCTGGGGCTGGGGCTGGAGCGGGCGGGTGTGGGTCGCATGTCCCAGGGGTTGTGCCCCACAGCTTCTGTGCCCAGCTGTCAGAAGCGGCCGGGGGGGTGTGGGGCACTCTGCCCCGTGGGGTCCCTCAGGGCTCTGGCTCGCTTGGTGGGCACGCTGCTGCCGTCGGATGCTCTGCGCTTGCTGCTGCCCACCGCTGCGCTGTCCCTGTGCGGCAAGTGGGTCCAACCCCCCCGGGGCTGCCTCCGCAGCGCCTCCCCCACCAGTGGGGCCCTGAGGGGCGGATGACACTGGGGGGCAGCCGGGGGGCTGGCCGGGGGGCTCAGCAGCGGGATGCGCAGGGGGCTCAGCAGGGCACTCTCCAGAAGACCCTGCGGGGGATCCTTCCAGGGACTCTCCGCAGGACGGGCCTCTGAAGTCTCCTCGGAAGTCTCCAGGGAGCTCTCCTCCTCAGCAGCCTCCGAGGGGCTCGGGGGCAGCCGGGTGGGGAGGTCTGCTGCCACCCCACCCTGCTGCCCCTTGGGGTCCTGCGAGGGGGAGGCCGCCACCCCCCAGAAGGGGTCGGCGTCCCCCAGCATGGCCGCTGCCAGGCCGACCTTGGGGCCGTTGTCCTGCACCCCATCCTCCAAGAAGTCGGGGACTTCGCCGACGGAGGCGGTGCTGGCGAGGCCGTGGGGGACATCGGGGAAGGTGTTCTCGCCGGCCACCATCTCCACTGTCGCCGCCTGCTCCTTGCAGCCGCCCTCTGCCCTGTGCTCCGAGAGGTGGGGGAGCTCGTTGAGGGAGGTGGTCAGTTTGGGGACATTGGGGACAGTGTCCTCACCATCCCCCAGCCCTGCCACCACCGCTCGCTCCTTGGGGCAGCTGCCCCCTCCCACATACTCGGAGAGGTGGGGAAGCTCATCAAGGACCTTGACAGTCAAGCGGGGGACATTGGTGGTCAAGCAGTTGTCCATGCTGTCCCCTGGCTGTGCCACCACCACTTGGTCCCAGGGGCCGTTGCCATCCACCATGTACATGGAGAGGTCCGGGAGCTCATTGAGGAAGGTGGAGCTGGCCAGGCTGTAGGGGAAATCAAGGACATCAGGGCCGGTGTCCTCGCTGCCCCCCAGCCCCGCCACCGCTGTCTGCTCCTTGGGGCAGCTGCCCTCTGCCACATAGTCCGAGAGGTCGGGCAGCTCTCGGAGGAAGGCGGCCAAGCTGGGGCTGTCGGGGCCATCGGGGACAGTGTCCTCACTGTCCTCGGTGTGGAGCCAGGCGGTGGTGTCCTCTGCCTGCTCAGGAACGGCCTCAGCGAAGGCGGCTGGCCCCTGCTCGGGCAGGTCTGTGCGCTTCCCCGGGGCTGCTGGGGTGGTCACCACTGCTGAAAAAGCAAGCAAAGACAACCCAGACCTGGGTGATGCAAGCTTTCCTTGGCTTAGCCATCCACCTGTGGGCTCTGCCACCCCCTAAAACTCACCCTGCCTCCTGCAGAATCAAGATCAGAGGCACATGCATCTTTTGTGGGGAGGGACAGACTGTGCTTCTCTTCATGCAGCCACTTTTAAAATGACCTTGTGAAAGTTTCTACACAAAACCTCTCTGTTTTCATGTGTACAGACCAGCGTCACTGTGGTTTTCAAAGTGGTATCCAGGAGTGTAGGAGGGAGGAGAGGGAAAAAATTCTTCCTTCACTCTGTGCTGTAGATTTTGTCATGTAGCTCACACCAAATCCAGCTGGGTTGTTAAGCAGAGTTGAAAAGAGCATTTTTATTTATGGACTCATTTTATAGGAGGAATGTTTGACTTTCATTAACAGCCCTTAGAGAATCCAGGGAATACTCAGTGGTGGTTTTCCTGCCTGGGTTTTAATTTTGCACAGCGATCTGGGCAGACATTTTGACTAGCCAGAAGATAAACAGAAGCCTTGACAGTGGGTAGAGGCAGAAGATGGATGGTGGTAGGCAAGATGTTTGAACTAAAAATGGCCATAAGAAAGATCAAGAATAAATAACTGTTGCAAAGGAGAGATTTTGCTACCAACATCCCAAGCAAGTTGTAATTTATAAGCAGCAAAGACAGCATTGAGGCAATGAAATTTCATTGATGTTAAACTTTTTTCTTCCAGCCATTTAGTACGGTGCTCTTACCATAGACACATTTGTAAATATGGAAGGAGGTTTACATTTTTAAAGACTTTTCCTGGAGAAACAAAGGGGGGGCGTAGAAATAAAAATTAGATACATAAAAAGTAGATACAGTAAGATCGATGTCTGATTTTGGTTATCAGGACATAATGCTTGCTGCTTGCAGTAGAAGTTGCATGCTCATATTCACAGTTGCTGTTTCAGTTACTCCTTGCATTACATGGCAGTACTTCATGCTCTATTGGGTCTAGCATATGTTCCTCCAACACTATCCATCTTGCTTGGGGGACAACGGGGAGGGGAGGCTATTTGCTGTCTGACTCAAAGAGTGAGCATGTTTTGCAGAAACTTTGCAGAGGTTGTATTTCACAGCAATCACCTCAACAAGGTCCATTCTCCAGCTGAACTGGAGTTGCGTGCATTATGCTGCCATTTTAATTTGCTTTTATTCTTAACAGGCATTGCTGGCACATGGGTGTCTTTGCAGCCGATTCTCGGGGGGAAGAAATTAGTTTATAATTCATTTGTTAAAATGGAGAAGTGAGACTTTTTAAGGTACTATCTTAATTCCCATCGATTCTCATGCTAATCCAGGTAAGATTTCTCATTGCTCCTGTGATCCTTCTCTAACAGTGTTCCCATTTTCTCTATCTTTATAAATCCTCTGCTCTGTTTTAAACAGGCAGACTTACATTCAAAAGAGATAGGGGAATGAGGGGAAAGCATGAGAAATTCAATTGTTTGTTAAAACACAAAAGCAAAATGAAAACATTGAGTTGTAATCGTGAACTGTACTTTATCAGGACCACTCCTAGCATGCTCACAAACTGGGGCTGATCAGCTTTCTAAGGAAGGGAACAAGTCTTGTACAAGGTCAGCATTTACAGTTACAGCTCAGCACTGACAAGAAGAGTGTCTGGATTCAAGCATTAGAGCTTTCTATTGAAGCTATACAATGAGAGAAGAACAACAAAGGAACCTGTGATACTAAAGCCAAGAAAGACCTTGTGGTTTTTATTCTGCTCAGTGAGAACTCTTTTATTTGCATATGCATTGTTCAGGCTTTTAGGAAAGCATTGATTTCTCAAGGATTAAACTTCAAGAGAGAGTTTTAAAATGTATTTGAGCACTTTTGACTTTTTGTGTCTTGACCTTTACACTACTGCCTTTAAGATTTTCTTCATAACCATACAAACAGAAACTTTTATTTTAATAGGACCTTTATACACCATTATTTATTGACCTGATGCTGATAGTTTAAAACAACCTTGATGCTAAGAATTTTGTGATATAGTGATTCTGGCTAGCAGTATTGCAAGTCTTGTGTCTTGTCACTTTTATCGCTGCATTTAGTGTACTCGACATATGTCTAAACCTCTTTTCCCTGAGCGGCAGCGCTACTTCTGTCCTCCAGATGAACGATGCCATTTCACACGGAGGAGCAAAGTGATGCGCAGGTGGCCCTGTGCCTGCCTGAGCAACCCTCTGCTCGATGCTCACAGGTGGAGCCAGGTGCCCATCTCTTCAGCTGGTGTCAGTCCTGGCTGTTGGAATCACAGTCTCCCTCTGCCCTCACAAATATGTTCCTCCCTTGCACTAGCACTGTGGCTTCTCTGATCCACTCATGAGCCACCTAAGTGGGCTGGAAACAAAGGAAAAGCGCATGGCTGTCAGACAGCTCAGCTGCCAGAGCCAACTCATGTCCCTGTAGCAAGCACCAGAGCCTGCCCAAGGGAGGGACCGAGACCCCTGAGCAAAGGCAGGGGGAGAAGTGCTATGATTGGCATTGCATTTCTCTGGAGGCATAAACTACCCCAAGGCTGTCCCACGTTGGCTGCTGGCAGACCAAAAGACAGGATGGTATTGTGAGAAACAAGCCCACCTATATATATAAAAAAAAAGTTTTATTGGGGACAAAGTCAGTGGAGCAAAGAATACAGCACTGGGCACAATGGCACGCCCTCTGGAGCCAAAGGGGCTCCCTTTTATTGTATAAAAGGTAATATATTCATCTACCCTAATACATATGCATCACTACTCGAAGGATAGGGAGGAAATATTACAATTAGTTCCGAGAAATCATGAACATATCCCCCCACCCCAAATTCCTCCCGTCGCACTTGCGCAGTGCTCCCTGGTGGTCGTGGGCAGGGGTCTGCAGATGAAGGCTCGTAGTCTTCACTGTGTTCACTAGCTGACCCTTACTTCTGCGCCAACTCAGTCCTGTGGTCAGGTACACCTTGTCCTTCAAGTCTGGGCTAATTTGCAGCTCCTGTCTTTATGGCTCAGTGGTTTCAGTTCCTCTCTTATCTCAAGGACAAGAGATACCAGGGATGGCCCATCCTGTTCTTTCTCATTCCATTGCAAAGGAGTCACTGCCCTGTGATATGGACCATCTGGTGAGCATCCCAAGAAGGGGGGGGCTGCTGTTGGGTTGGTGTTTCCCCAGATCTATTCCTCCCCCTTCTCTTTTCCCAGTAGTAAATTCTTTTATTTTTCTTAAAATTTGAGCTTTAGTCTAACTCAATAAAAGTAATAGTTCAATTACTTATAGCTGGAGCAAAATTCTACTGTTACTTCTCACAGTACTGAAAAGGGTGTCTAGATCTATTAGGAAACTGCTCCAGATAGAGCTTTTCTTGAGCTAATTTTCATCTGGGTCATTGCCCTGGTTTGGCTTAGCTTAGGTCAAAGGAGCCCCCCTCCCACTACAGGACTGGCCAGCAAGACTGCCACCTACCCCCTTTCAAGAGGAGCCTGCATTTAGGGCAGTTTAAAACAACCATGGAATCGCTTTAACCTAATTTAGAAGAACAGTTTACCTAAAAAAAAAAAAAAAAAGACAGCAATGTTTAAATGGCAGGGAGCACACACCTGGCTTGCCAGTGCATCTGTGCTTGGAGCCATGCTTGAAATCCTACATCTGCAGACAGATCACCACCACTCCTCCCTTACCTTCCTGCATTCAGCTCTTCCATCCTGCTGCCAGCAGGTCTGACTGCTCCGCTGCTGGCTGGCTCTGCTTCTCTCAATGCTCCTCTCTGCCCTGCTCCCCCAGCAGCAGCCAGCTCCAGCTCTGCCCCAGGCTGTGAACAGCCAGGGGAGGTCAGGGAGGACCAGCACAGGCTGCTGCCAGGGAGAGGCTGGCAGAAAGGAGGGAGAAGGAGCTCGGCGCAGAAAGCCTCACCCCAGCCAACAGACAAGGCAGAGGAGCTGGAAACACAGTACTGCACACAGGAGACAAGAGTCACCACCTCTTTCCCCTACTCGGCAAAGAAACAGGGAGCAGCTGTGCGTCTGTGTCCTGCACATCCCATCTGGGAACACGTTTATTGCTCACCGAGCTGCGTGTGCTGTAAGCTGGCTGCCATCGCCCTCCTCCCTGCTCCTGCAGAGCTTGCCTCCTGCCACCGACACGTCTCCGCACCTGCGGCTCCTGCTTCAGAAAGTCCCACCAACCACCACTACCTGCTCATCGCTCAGCGGTGGTTTAGCATTGTGGCTTAAGACCAAAGCCAGCCTGTGCACTTAATATTTCTGCGTAGCGTGTCCCCACTGTGAGACAAAAGGCCCCGTGTGCTCCCGCAGAGGTGAGCAGGACACTTGCCCTCTGCACTGACTCTTGGCCCTCCTCAGCTCACCCAGAGTCTCCTTCACTGGTGAAACCAAGGATGTGTCATGGAAATTTGCAGCTGGCTGATGCCAATCCAGGAGAGAGTTTGCAAAGTATAGACTTCAAAGAGTTATTCATGCACATGAGGTGTCTCAGCCAAACTGGAGCACCCCAACTGTGGTTTCACACAGGGTTTTCATACCCTTCAAATGTTCAGGTCCGACATGATTTGACTGATCACTAACACCCACACTTTTGATTACTAATCGTAGAGTAGAACTTCGCAAAGCAACTCTTATTTTAGCAGCATTCTTGCTGCTGGTCTATTGATCCAGACGTCCCTGGAGTCAGCCTTGCTGGAGTTACTTACCTGTAACGCCAGGCAATACTGGGAGAGTTTTGAAGACACGTTCAGAGACGCTGGGATGGCGCTGCTATATTGGCTGTCTGGGGGTATCCTTTCTCCTTCATGGACAGCCCTAACCTTCCAAGAATCAAAGTCCTTACTGCCAGGGCTGGGTGGCCCTTCAGTTTGTTTTACTTAAGCATGAACAATACTCAAGTCTCCACTAAAATTCCACTGCCTCATGGCATTACAGTGCATAATGTGAACCAATACATAAACAAGTTAATACACTTCCATACTATAAAGACGGGCTGATATGATAAGGAGTTATCCGAAGAGATGTCACCTGTTGGGCCCGGCCTTTGAGGGCAGCGTGGGTGCGGGTGCGAGCACGAGTGACACGCCGTGGCGAGGACCGCGGCCGCGAAGGGGCCCCACGCTCGTCCCGGAACACCGACGAACGCCCCGCGGTGCAGCCCCCGGTGACGGGCAGCCCCGGTGACCCGCGGCCTCACGGCCGGGCCGCGACAGGGGCGGGCGCACCACCGCCCCGCCCCGCCCCGCCCCGCCCCGCCCCGCTCGGGGCGGGGCCTCCCGACTCTCGGCGGCGGCCGCGGCGCCCGGCCCCTGGGAGGTATGAGCCCTGCGGCGGGGCGGGGGGGCGGCGGCGGCGGCGGCGCCGGGCAGGACAAGCCCCCGCCGCCATGCTCAAGGAACGGCCGCTTTGGCGGGGCCCGGCCTTCCGCCTCTGCCTGCTCTCGGCCGCGCTCTTCCTCTGCCTCCAGCTGGGCATGAGGCGATCCTGGTGCCTGGAGAAGCCCCGGGCGGCAGCGGCGGGGCGGGTGGCCCCCCCGGCCCGCGGCACGGAGCAGCCCCCGGGCGCGGCGGCGGCGGCGGCAGCGGCGGGCAGGCGGCGGGTCACCTACGTGCGGAGCGGCCGGCGGGGGAGCGCCGCGTCAGGCTGCTGCGCGCTGCAGCCCTCGGGCGGCCGCCACAGGAAGGTACGGAGGGAGGGCGGGGGGAGCGCCCGCCGTGTCGCGGCAGGAGCGCCGCTCCATCGCGACACGAGAGCGGCGCCATGGCGCCCCCTCCCCTCCTGAGGCGGAGCGGAGGGTGACTCGGCTCTGGAGGTCCATGTGCCGCCCCGGTCGGGGCTGGGCTCTGCGGCCGCTGGCGGACATCCGTCCGTCCGTCCGTCCGTCCGTGGGGGCCCCGCTTCGCAGGTGCGGCCTCCTCCCGTTGCTGAGGTGCCGCCGGCACCTGAGGAGATGCGGCCGGGCTGTGTGTGTGTGTGTGTTGCAGTGGTGAGGTGGTGCGGTGGCGGCTCCCTAGGAAGGTGTCTTGTGGTCAAGAGATTTCTTTTTTTTTGGTTTTTTTTTTGAGCGACGCTGCTCCGCTGCAGGGAAGGTGGAGGGTGCTGGTGGGGGGCTGAGCAGGGCTGGGCTGCGGTCTGGGGGGGACCTGGACCCAGGGTCACCAGGCTTGCTTGGCTGGCTGAAGCTCCTCAAACAGCAGCCAGCTTGGGAAAAGTCCTTGGCGTTTCTGGCATCCAAATGCCATTTAATTCGCCGAAGGCCGTCAAGAAATGTTTCAGAGACATGGTCTGTGTGAGAATTATTGAGTTGGTTAATGGACCTGTAATTAGGTTAAGACGTGGTGATGATTGAAAAGCCTTTTGGAGATGTGAGGACTGTCATTAGCATCTGGAGGTCAGCGAGAGCGAGGGGTGTCCGTACCCACTTCTCCCTCCAGTTGGTTGTGTGTGTGATCAGCTGTGGGATGCTGCCTTCTTCAGCAAGCTCCATGCAGTCTTTGTTTTTGGCAGATGCCAGTGTCTTGGGAATCGCTACTAGATTTGGGCGTTTGTTTTTGTGGAGTTTTCTTCGCAGTCTTTAAGGGGGAGAAGATCCAGCTTTTGAAGGCTGGGAAGGAGTAGTTTGTCACCTGTTTTGTGGTACTACTGTCAGGGTGCAGTAGTAATCGTCTGTGCAGAGATGTACACATACTTAAAGAAGCTGGGATGACTGTGAAAAGGAGCAAATGGGATTTTGTTAGAGATGAGACCACCTTTCTGGTCAAAGTAAATAACTATTTCTGATATTTGCCTTGACAAGGATAAAACCAGTTATCTGTGGAATGGCTAAACCTTCTCCTGTCCTTAAACTGGAGCTTTATCTGGGTTTGCTGAGACTCCCTTGATGAAGAGACTTCTTGCTAGCATCCAAACCACCATCTGAGCAAAGGTCCTGTGGTCATGGGGTCTCACTTGAAAATCTGCTTTCTTTTCTTTGCCTGTGTGCCTCCAGTAATTATATTTTTTTTATTTACAGAGGAGGTAACAGTGAACTTGTGTATAGTTTGAATTTTAGATTTGCGTCATCTTCTGTAGGGAGCTGTGATGGAAAAATAAAACTATTTTCTGTCCCTGGTTTCCAGAAGGGTTTAGAAGAAGAAATTAGATAATCCCTTACTTCCTTTACCACTGAGACAATAATGAAGACAAAGTTGTCACATATTTCTTCAGCATAATGACTATGTGGTGTCCTTGATGTGCTGTGGTATTGATGCCATGTTGAAGCATCTAGATCTTGTAGTATCAGTTTTTGTAATTTTTTGTTGTCAATGCCTTGTTATTTCTCCTTAAGCCTAACTTTTAAGTGATTGTAATTATGGAAGAATTTTGGCATTCATGGGGGGGGAAATTGTAAACACATGGGTTCAGATAGTTTCTTGAAAACACATGCTAAGCACAGCATCAAAAAAACAGGACGCAAAAGTAAAGGATATCCTAACTTATTCTGTGATTTTTGAGGAAATCCTAGTGGAGGAATAGCATCAGGGGAGGCTGCTTGTGGTGTTGGAGAGCTCGAGGCTCTGGAAAGCCACAGGACGTTTTGGTGTGTCTCCAGGTGAAGTGTGTGAAACATCACTGCTGTGGTTTGTGGTATTGGTCATGTTGTTGCTGAGGTCTCATTTGAATCCCACTAAATCAAGTGAAAAATATTAGTAAGTATAATACAGGGTGGAGTTGCCAGGTTAAGTTTGAGAATGTCAGGTGTCTTCCATGTTCATATATTTGACTTGAGCATGTTGCTTCAGGCTAAGAAAAATCTACTTAAAGTGAAGATAAGGCTGTGGGGATGGTGGGACTGAAATTCTGGGAATTACTGGTTTTGAAATAGAGTTGTTAAATACAGGGGGAAAAGCTGATGGGAAAATAAAGTACAAGTGGTCAGAGTATGGCCATTTTTTCTTGTGGAAGATCATGCATGATAGCAAAAAAAAAAAAACCAACATGGGTGGTTTATTTTAATTTTTTCATCAGGAAACATTGTATTTCACTTCAGACTCTTTTAAGAAGAGTTGGGGGCTCTTATCAGAAAAGGCTGCTTAAATTGGTGGTCTGTGGCTTCTACCAGCATCTCTGGAGAAAGGTGGCAGTGTGCGGGTGTGTGTAAATGCCTCCCTGGAGGAAAGGACAGGCTCCTTATGCAGATCTGTGCTGTACTGGGTTGGGGTTGCTTTTTGCTGTGGGTTTTATATGTTTTCATGTCTTCTGTCTGTCCATAGACCTTTATCAGTCCATTTCTGAAGCCTGCAGAGGCTTTCAGGTATGTTTGTTTGTTTGTTTTTTTTTCCCCCTACTGCTGATTATGGTGGTGGTGGAGTATGTTGTGACATGGGAGCCAGCAGGTTGGCAGTAATGAAAAATCAGTGAGACCAAACTTTGCTCTCTTTTCCTAGTGCCACTTGGTTATAACTGTACTAACATATCACTGAATTAATGCAGAAGCCTGATGAACAGAGTGCTTCCCTAGATCAAGTTGAATATCCTACTTTGTGGCTGTATTAAAAAAAAAAAAAAAAAAAAATTGCAAAAAAGCCCAAGGAAATTACTGAATTCCTACACTGAATCACTTTAAAGTTTCCTGAAGCAGAGTTGTGTTATTTCCCAAGCACATCTACGGTCAAACCACCAAAATGGGGGGAGGGGGAAGACCCGGGAAAGCTGGAGACTTGTCCATAAACAGCCCTTGACTCTGCAGGAAATTGCCTGTGCAGTTATGCGCTTTTCCTGACCGCTGGTAAATCTCCGTCAATGGAGAGTGTGACTCTGCAGCAGATGGGAGGGTTTGGCCACCAAGGTTACAAGTGCCTGTGCCTTGAGATGCACGCATAAAAAATGCTAACTGAAAGCAGCAGGGAATAAAGTAATTTCACTATGTGACGGCTCTGGGAGCTGGCAGAGCTGCCTGTCCTAGTGCTTTTGGGAGCTGTGTTGTTCCCAGCTGTTTTGCTCCCTGTGGAGCCTACCAACGAGCAGATGCTGCTGCTCTTGTTCACAAATAATAAACAAAATTCAGCACTGAGACTATATGATGGTCATCTGAAGAATGGGAACAGTTATATGTTGTGCTGCAAATGTAAAGAAAATGGAATTTTGTGGTCCCATTTGTGTTTTGGTGGGAGCACTTAAAACTGTATTGCTGCTAGTGAAATGCCTGTTTATAAACTGTGATTATAAAATCTGGTTGTGTTAGGCACTGGTCTGGTAACATATGCAGCAGATACAAACTCCAGCTAGATGGAGACACGCAAATCCTACCACAGGTAGCTGCTTCTGCAATAGGTAGAGAGGTCTGCACCCACAGAACACTGCAGACATGAGGTGAGTTTTAAAATGTTATTACAGTGGGTGATGGTAACAAAAAATAAATTTGTTGCATTTGGAATAAGCAAATTCTTATCACAATGATTGCAATAACAAGGTTATGTTGGCTCTCGGGCTCTGAAATGAGGAAGAACACTCTCAGAGCCTGGTTGAGAAAAGCTGAAGTCCTTTGCCTCTGGGAAGATTTATTTTCATGGAGGAGGAGGAGGATCAAAAAAAAAAATTATATGGTTATGCATCAAAGAAAAAAGGCTGATGTTAGTCCAGGCAAGTGTTTTAAGTTCATACAGTTTTGCTTGCTGATGCAGCAAGTGCTGTGACTGTGTCTGTCTTAAAAACCACTGTTTGGGGTCTTGCTTTCTGCTTAGGCATAGCTGGGCTGTGCCGTGGGGGATTCGTGGAAGGCAGAGCTTGGAGACATGCTTGAGGCTGCTAGGCTGCAGCCACAGGTGTGTCTTCTGAAAGTGTGTCTGCTGGAAGACAAGCAAATTACTGAGTTTAGTTTGAAAATTGTAATATCAGCTAGAAATCACTTTGTTGTGGCTGTCCAAAGGTGGGGAGTGCAGTATGCTGGCAAAGTTAGCCTGATGTTATTTTGGATGCTCTTTCATCTTATATCTGGAGATACAAAAATGTTTGCCTTCAGTGATTAAAAACTAAGAGTTAGATTTTGCTACTGGGCCCATATGTATTTTGTCTGGGATTATAACGTATTTGGAAACATGAAGTATCATTACCTAAAACAAAAAAATCTTGTGAGTTTGTATTTTGTATACAGCTGTATTTTGGTTCCTTATAAATACAGACTAATTGTCTTTTGCTCTTGCTTGTTGGACTGCAGCTTTTGTTCTTCTTTAAATAGGAACTATTTCTGAGGGGTTACAGCTTCTCAACAGTAATGACTGATAACAGTCTCATCTTCAATGTAATTGAAATCTCCAAATTATTTTGGAGTGATATCTTCAAAGTTATGTGAAATAGCGGTTTGACAGTTAATAATATGGCAGGTTCAAAATAACCTCATGCAATTTAGCATTACATTATTGCTAAGATTTTACTTAAATCTTACATTTGATTTTTAATTTAAAAATGACAAAGCTACTTAAGTTTGTGTCAGCGACATGCAGGGCTTATACAAAGAGTCTCTTTTACTTCTACAAATCTGGTTAAAAAAATGTATCAGATGTTTTTATTGCCTATTTGTATGTATAGTGTTTTCAAGCTGACTTCACATCTTTAAAAATCTGTAAAACTTTAGGTACTACTTGAGTGGGAAGTTACTCTGCCTCTTGATAAGCAGGATCCAAAATTCTTGGAGAAAACTTGGTT